GGGGGGGGTCTTCCAGCAGCTATTTAAGCTTGGCGGCTTGTGGCGGTAGGGGGGAACTAAAGCAGCAGATATGCCAGCCTAGACCCCTCAACCAGACCTTGATCCGGGTGGTGGTGGTGGTGGTGGTGGTGGTGGTGGTGGTGGTGGTGGTGATGGTGGTGGTGGTGGTGAAGTGGTGTTGTCGTGGTTGTTGGTTGTTGCTGCCGTAGTTGAGGTTTTGCTCGTTGTTGAGGTTCTTACGATTGTTCCAATGGTCTACTTTGCATCTACGCAAGAACGATTCTTCAGGCTTTTTCTGAGGCAACCCTACAAATTATTCACTTGAGCCACCACGCATCAAGAATGCCTCAATACGGCGGTCTTCCTCCGAGCAGGTGGTCCAATCGTTGAACCATTTCACCATGCTCTCCGACAGATACAGGCCGTCCTGATCAACCAAGCCCAGATCCTGAGCAATCCCTCAGTCCTCACTCTCATGTTGCAAATAGCTGTGGCTTACTGCTCCCTGCCATACCTCTCTATGAAACTCTGGGGTTGGATGCACTGCCAAGCGTCTACATTAAGGAGCCCTTTGCCTGGGCCAAAGCGAATCTGGAAGACCGCAGGAATGTCCGACAGACCGAGGTATCCACGAATCCGTTCTGCAAGCGGCGTTCCGATCCGCCCACAGCCATCCGTCAGCACTGCACCTCTATGACTTCTAAGGTCGGCCACCTCATGGATCTGATCCGCTCTGCAAACGATGGTTCCTGTGGCGCTGGAGAAGCCCAGTAATAAGCGCTTGTTGTACTTCGCCGCTGACTCTGCCAGAAGCTTGGTTTCAGCACAGATCGGCACAAGCGCTCTTCGAGCCTCGTCGGCCGTGCATTTTGGAAAGCTGGCTGCAGCAAGCTCGTGCTGTTGAGCCGCATTCCAAATATCCGGCAAGCCAGGGTATACGCGCACAACTTCATCTCGCTCTTTATCCCAGGGCGAAGTTGCAAAGAACACATACTTTTGCTCCGCATCGGGCTGGTCCTCCTGCATCCTGTCTCGCTTCTTCCCCTTAAACGCCAGCAGCCCCCACCAGCGACCCAACCATGGAAAAGGCTTCAAATACCTCAAGAGGTCGGCGTGGCTCAGGTCATCTGAACTCGCCGTCTTGACTCTGAGAGTGATGTACAAGAACCGGTCATCTCCGAACTTGCCTCGGGCGCATCACTGGCACAGAGAGAGATCTGTCAAAGCAGGCCCTCTCCCTGAGGCATACCTACAGTAGCTTGGGGGAAACAATGAACTGCACCTGCACAAAAGGAAATCTGCTTTCCATGGCCTGGGTGCGGTGAAAACGGTTTGCGATGCCACGCTGCACCTCGTGAGACTGGAATCTCCTTTCCACGGAGTCAGCAGAGTAGTGGTGAACGATCATGACAGCATTGTAGAAGGCGCTGCCGTTCTGCGGGTTCGGGTCATCTGCCAGGACGGCTGGGCTCCCCTTGCCCTGTGATATCGGGTCTTGCTTGAGCGCGGATTCTTTCCGACAGCTCTCCCAGTCAACAAGGAGGCCGAAAAACTGATTGAAAGCTGCACATCTCTTTTCGATTGGTGAGTCGGTTCTCTGGCGCTTTGCAGCAGTTTGGCACTGATGCACTCGTGGAGATGTATACCCTCCATAGCATCCATCAGCGGCCATTGCTTGGCGACGCACCCACCTGGACTCACACAACGGGCTTGTTGGCAGTGTTCGACGTGATGATTGTCATTGTCTGCTTGTAGGAACAAAGCTACAGCCACCTTAAGTGCGAGTCTTTCCCCCTGGCTGGACATGTGCATGTTTATGTGTGCATGCCTGCAGCAAGAAACCGAAAGTTGAAGAAAATCATTCGACAGGTGCAGAACAAGCACAAATCTCTGGCTTGCAGCCCTCCGCATACAGTCTCTCCAACTAACCCAACACCCAGGGTACCTACCTACTATATAGGGTACTAGAGCCCCTGAGGCCCTATATACTAGGCACCTAGAGGGTTAGGGTCAACTGTATGTGGGATTTAGTAAGTAAGGTTATAAGTCCCTTAGTTGGGGTTATAAGTATAGTGACCTTAGTTATAACCCTACTTACTAAGTCCCATGATCCTTTAAGTAGGACATCTTCTGGGTAGTTACCGTTATAGGAGCCTTATAGAAGGTCTATATACCTTATGGAAGCCTTACAGAAGCCCTCTA